AGAAAATAAGGAAAATCCCTGTACATTATTAGAGGCGTGTTGCATAACTGATGTTAAACACTCACATGCATGAGTACTTTACTGCAAATAGCTATCTTCTCTCGTTTGCACTAAATATTAAATCAAGTCCTGCTATTGCTATACATCATAAACCATAACCAGCGTTAAACACACCTATTTTATTTCTTACAATTATTTATGTTCGGAAATGACACAATTGAAGCGTAATAGGAGCTGTACGTAAATCTAATATTATTTATACTATAATTATTTGCTGTTCAAACAACATCACTTGTTTTGAATTTGATACTTAGCACGTAAGAACTGTATTCGATCGATTATCATTCAACAGATTGTTATTAATACAGCATCATTTGCAAATAAATACTAATGGATCATATTTATGATTTTTGCATTCAATTCTATTTACAATTCTTGTAGTTTGCAACAGCAAATTTTCACTAATGCTCGACTTCCAAAAACTACTTTGCACGAATTTGACCCTTTTTGATGATAAACCAGCAAGGCTACGTCATAATCATAAATTCCTTGAATTTTAAACAATTGCAATACCGCAAACTGCTCCAAAATATTGACAAAACAAAGGAGTATTACTTAATGAATGAAGAAACAGGCACAAAGATAAGCCATGAACATGTGAAAGAAAAATGTGAAAGAATGATCATGAAAATAGAAAACGAGAAAGAGAAAATAACTGGATTATATTATGTGAGTAAAAAAATATAATTTAATTATTCGTCGGACAAGTGCTTGCGTTTGCAAGTCACATCCTCATTTTCGTTTTCAGTGTCGTTTTTATCAGTTTGTAAATCAACTATTTCACATTCTGCATTTAATCCTCTCCCTTCCAAATTTTTCCTTTTTCCACTTGTAGCATCATTGATATCCGCTGATTTTATCATTGAACTCATGGATGTGTCTTCTTTGTCGGTATTTTGTTTGTTAACCATTACAATTTCTGGTTTTACCTCATCTGCTGAGAAATGTTTTGTCTCCTTTTGCGCAACAAGCCCCCCATCTGTTGCTAAACATTCCGACATATCTACGACCTTGTTTGCCGTAATAACATAGCCTTCGTTATAGTCTCCTCTCACCACAGGATGCATACTCTCGATCGTATATCTCCTACAGAAAAAGTCACTCATTCGCACGTTCACATATAATTTATTATTCAACAAATACTCAAAACATTTTTCTGCATCACCTCTATTCCTTCTGTAAACAACCAATTGATCGTTCAGATGCGAATGAACTTTTTCACACAGGAGTTGGTTTTCCACCGCATCATGGATGTCTGCAAGAATTATTACATCATAAAAACCTAATGTCTCGCTCAAAGTTGTGTATTTGATGGTATAATCACCAACTTTCCTGACACTTTGCTTCGCTCCCACCACATCGATGTTTTTTACGTTTTTGTAAAATGCGGTATACGAAAGAAGCGCATTCTTATCATCATAAATCAAAACACTGCGATCCTTTTCTAAGTAGAATGACAAAAATGCTATGGCACTTAAAGAAAAGGTTTTCTTCCTTTTTGTTAATGAGGAATGAAAAGAATGAGGTGTTAATTCGTGAACAATTATTCTTTTTTCTTTTTTTTCATTCTTTTTATTTTTGTACTTCCTCCTTGTTCTTTCTTCCATTGTCATCTCTTCTTCGTTATTCTTATTGATGTCACTGCCTTGATCATCATTATCGTCATATTTGCTCCGATTCCTGCTAAAGTTATCTTTGTGTTCATAGAAATTGAATTTATCCGCATAAATCACAGCCATATCATTGTCACCTTCGATGCCATTCGCTTCTTTGTGTTTCTTCTCTCCATTTTCTTCTAATTGTTTCGATTCACCCACAAGTGTAAACACATCGTTCTCAATTTTATAGGCCATGTAATATTCTAATCCCTCAAGATCGAGCAGATTAAACTCCTGTCTGTTAAACTTGCACTTCTTATTCTCGATTTTTAGAGGAGCGCTCATGCATCCGTGACCTTCTATCACTACGTAATCATCCTGTTTGATAGTCATAAAAGGGTTGTATTTTAAAAATATGGTTTTCGATCCAAATACTTCAAAAAAGTATGGTTATAAACCAAGAGGGATTTAAAGTTCTGCTTCTTGTAATATACAGGGCCTAATAGATGGATGTAATTTAATTAAACTTTTTTACTAAAACCAAACTTGTCTTTAGTACAACCTTCTATTTTTTATCTGGTGCTCGGTCAAACATTTTTCCTCTCAAACGAACACAAGCCTTTACGCTGTATTACGAACAATCTAAATACACATCTTGCTTTTGCAAGGAACAAACATGATTCTCATGTCCTCCTGTGTGATGAAGCATGTACCTACGTTCAATAACTTGATTTGAAGATCATGCTGAACGAGTATTATCGATTAAAATGGCCAAGAATTTCGTTCCTTGTTGTTTCGAACTATCGCTTCTTCTATCTCACCAGAGCAATTAAATCTTCATATATATTTCACTCTTTGAAAATTACTTTTTACAATAAAAACATTTCACTCGCGATTATCATATTTCTCCTCTTAAAAAGACAAGCCTTTTGATCATTCGTGAACATGTCAATATTTGTCATTTTTCCCGTGCTGATGGATGACTCATACAAGTGAATATATCTGTCAGTATAAACCGAGCCTGCAAATAATGACCCCACAGTGACGTATTAAAACAAAATATTGCACGATATGATTAATGTAACTTGAATTTACATGAGATGAACATGTTATTGTTACTAATTATGTAGTAATAATTGAGGAAGAGGTATAAAGAATAAAATTGTGTAGCAGTCAGCGGAATTGTAGTGTTACCGGTGTCAGCGGATCACCTAAAAAAATGACACAAACCCATAAAATCAACATCGCCCCTATAAATCACCAACAATACAAAAATAATAAAAATTATTTACTCCACCCTTATCCATGACACATCCTTTGTTCGTTCCCTTCACGGTGAAAACCATAACACGAAATACCACGAAGAAGGAGCCTTTTGATTTTTGCAACTCGTTGAAGAAGCTGTGCACGCTAAAATCGGTGGAGAACCTTTTATACTTTCTCAACCACGTAAATTTTGATCACATAGAGGGAATAACCGACATTTCAATATTCAAGGATGGAATTGAGCCATTATGGGAGGATAAGAGCAATATCAAGGGTGGTAAATGGATAATTAAGCTGCGACGAGAAGTTAGCACACGGTTATTCCAGAAATTGTTGATACGGATGGTCCGTCAGCCCTTTGACAAAATAGATGTTAATGGAATTGTGATTAGTTTCAGGATGAAAAATGTTATTTTGGCGGTATGGACTAAGGATTCAACTGGAAAGGATAGTTTTAAAGATGTCTTGATGGAGATCAAAAAAGTTTTGGATGTAAAATTTTTCTTGTCGGTAGAATACAAAGACAACGATGAAAGCTTGAAGGATAACTCATCATTTAGGAACACGAAGAATTTGTACGTGCAGTAAAAGTAAAAGTTTGGGAGGTAGAAATGTTTGATTTTTGCAGATGTTTTATTAAGAAACAAAGTGAGGCATGATCAAACATCGATTTGAAATAAAAGTATTGAGTTTATCTTGTTGGTATGTGAAACACAATCCATTTAGATTAATTTCTGACTTTGTCAGGCTTATAGGGTATTTGCTAGCAGGTAATATTGCCCAAACTTTCCGCAGAAATCAATATTTCAGCCGATAGCTGCATCCATCGCAGCGATTGAGTTATATATATTATTATATTGTGAACCTGACATATTTTTCTAAGTTTACATATTAATTCATCCAAATAGAGCGTGTTGAACGTTAAGTCCAGTCACTTTAACAAAACATCTTTCCTCGTCAAGCTATTTTCTGTGCATCATTGCTCCGATATTTGTGATTATTTCATCCGAATTGCTTGTTTGACGATAACAGTTGTCACAATATGCTAAAATGTGCCAATGGAGAGACAACCAAGTGTTAACTTCAAATATCATGCTACAGATGGTTATTTCCTTTTAATTTGGGACGAAGTAATATTTGGAGCGTTAAATAATTGCGATAAATAAATTTAGCTATCATTAATAAGTAACATTTGTTCCATTAAAAAAAGTTTATGGTAAAGCCATCGTAAATAACTGCTAATAATACATAACAAAAATAATTATTGCTCAGTCACAGCTTTGAAGCAGCGTTAACTAAAAAACAAAATACTTAAAACCACGTGTTAAAAGCAACTGGTCGTATCGATAGTATAAACTTAGTATTTAAACTGGTTAATTTTTTATCTACAAGCTGAATAATGAGTGGTAGAATGTAAATTAAATGTTGCTTGCGTATCCATTAGTTTTTCCGAACAAAGCATGCAATACATTCTTATATAATGTATGTCACGCCTATACTATAATATTATTACTTTCAACAAATTAATTTACTTGTCTCTAATCATTTTTTTCGAGTAATTTTCAGGTTTCTTTGTCCAGCTACCAGTACTTTTCCAATCTAGAAGCACAAAAAACTTAACTTCGTGTTACCATGCCTGTTTTAAATAAAACCAAGAACTCAATATTTAAACTAAGCTCACAGCTCATCTTTAATGTCCTTTTAATGGTGCTTATTTTTATTTTCTACGTTGTAATAATACCACCAATAATAGTATTTCTCCCAATCGGTGTACTCTCTCGCTTCATTATCTTGTTGTTCGTCCGCTAAAATGCAATTAATCATGTCTTGCGCTATCCACAGATCGCCATCTGCTTCTCTTATCACATTAAAATGCACTTTTCCATCTCTTCGCAGCCTAATACGTGTATTACTTATTCTCTCAATTTCCTTTAGTTTACATCCACCTTTTCCTATCACCTTTCCAATTTTGCTTGTTTTATCTGACGGCACATAAACATTTATATCCATTATCTTGTCCTTATGTGATGGTAAATACTTTAGAACAAGGTTATTTATGTGATCTTTGTTTTTGGATGATTTTAGCCGGAGGAGAAGTGTTTTTTCCGCATTGTGAGATTTTAACAGTATTTCTGGATGGACAAATCTCATGAAGGATTAGCCGGATTTAAAATTTTTAAATTACTGCCATAATTAATTATTTTTGAAGACAGGATATCCGCAGTTTCTTGTCGTTTTCTGCCCAAAAAAGAGCACCGGAGTAATTAAAAAAGGGTCATTAATCTATTTAACACAAAACTTTGGTAAAGAAATAAATTAAAAATTTTAAATACACATCGCTTTTGTATCCCAAAACCTGCGCAATTTGATAGTACCGAGTAAAATTGTGGAATGAATGTGCGAATAACTTTTCTATCGGCCGTTAATAACACCTTTACGCATAGCCACTTATACATTTATTAAACATTTTTTTAAAAAAGTAAAATGTATTCCCTCTAAATGGTTCTTGGGATTCCCTGTTATGTCTTAGAATCAACTCGCTACATACAAATATCGCACAAATCACTACTCATATTCGAGAAAGAAGGCAGTCTGATCGATAGTATCAGCCTGGAATCGATCAAATCTCTACATGTAAAAAACGAAGACAAATTCTTTTTACGTATAACATACAGGAACAACCTAGAGCTGGTGTTAAAATTTGACAGTTACCTGAACAGAGACATAACGAAATCACTCATAATATTTGTTGAAAAAGAAATAAAAGAACGCAAGCGAATAGATGTCGGCGATACCGATTTGTACAATGAATTAACAAGCAAGTACCACTTTGATGAAAAGTTATACAGTTCACTGACCGGCGAAATACGCGGGCAACAAATAAAAAATTTCAGTCTTTACGAGATAGAGAGCAAGAACGATCTGCTCAAGTGCTTTATCCAGCAGCCTTATCTGCTACATATTTACGTAGAAATGCAGGTAACGCTCAAGCAATTTTTCAATCTACTGAAGGGCAGCTATTTTTTTGATGATCGTAACGAAAAGAACGCTGTCGACAGACGCATACAAGGTATGTTTGGGGTAGAGCTGAATTTCGCAAGCAGGGTTAACCAACACAATAGGAACGAAGTTGAAGATGTTGAGGAGATCAGCAGCAAGCCATTGGTTGAAAAAGAGATCGCATTCTCACCCATCTATCCATATGAGGAGAACATTATTGAGGAAGCAAGGGAGTTTATTGAACCCGTTCTAAACGGCATAAAAGTTGATTTAAAAGCCGATAACGAGCCGATAAATGATACTTGTGAATATACTAAAGGAAATATGATAAATATTTGTTCTTTCATTTACGAGAACAGGAATTCGGTAAATAAGTCAGAAGAAATCAGGAAGCTGGCGAAAGAAGTTGAAGAAGAAATGCTTAAAAACGTAGGCGAGCATGAAAAAAAAATTTTTGGAAGAGTTGTACCGTCATTTTTCCTAAAAAAATAGCCTGACATAAACTATTGAACACTAAGAAATAATTTTTAGCTGTGGTATTATTTTTTTCTAATATTAAATTACACTTCATCACTTGATTTGGTGATAACATACGTAGATAGTCCTGAGAAAAGCGTACAAAATTATAGTTAAGATTTATTATTCAGATATTTCGTATCATAGGGGAATAATCAGAAAGATTGGTAGGCTAACTTTACCATAGATGAGTCATTACATGGTACCCATTAAACACGTGTAAGAACGGCTTAAACGAGAACCATATAAATTTATTCCTGTTTTACTGGGAAGAATAGTTGGTTGATTCGGAGTTATTATATGCGTTTCCATAGTATCCTTTGTAGTAGTTTTCGTAGTATTTTCTGTAGGAATCTTGCGTGCTATCACTATTGTTCATTGGATTCTCGAAGTATTTTATCAGTTTACCATATCCACCTAAAAAGCGTTTATTGTGTATTATAAGTGGCAATGTGTCGTGTTGAAGAGTACTTTTTAGCGTTTCGTATGTATTCGTCATATTTTTATCCTTGTCGACAAATACGTAGCTGACACCTTTGTCTTTGAGGAGCCCTAGAGCCTTTTTCGTGAATCCGCAAGTTTCCGTCCCGAAAACCACAAATTCCGTTTTCATAAGGTCCAAAAGAGATGGATCCTCTGTGTTTATGTCTGCATCATATCTTGCTCGGTCCACAAAGTTTTCGTAATTATCGAATTTCAAAAAATCAAACAACCCTGAGAATGTACCTTTTGCCAGAATAACATTTAGAAAAAGGAACATTTATCATCTTCTTGGTTCGTTTGAATTTAAATCTTTTTCGTTTCACAATCTGTAACAGTGATAAGACCACATAGAATGATTTGGATTCTTTTTTGTATCAGTCGGAAGAATATTTCTGTTTGTAAAACTATCAGCAGTGTTTTAAGATTAGAAAGCATTTATGTACTGAAAACTAACCTTTGGAGGTGCTGATCAGTTTTTGAGATAGCTGAAAATTGCGAGGTTCGTTCTGCACGATTTCTCACCGTGATGTAGGTGATAAAAGCATAAAACAATAAATGTTAGAAACAATGAGATGGTTGTACTATAATCGAAAGGAACAGAGGGGCACGAAAGAGCCATCCAAGCAATAAATTCTACATATCAGCCGAACAGTATAAAGAGAAAACATAACTTCAAACGGAAGTCACCTTGAAAACGAACATTACATGATTAATAGCAATACAGACAGAGTACAGAAAAAAGGTCATCTCACAATTCCTGTTTTAACGGTGGCAAATTCAAAAAATAGATGTTATATGCTAAATAAATACTGAATTTTTATGATAAACAAATCTTCGATCAAATAATATTTGTGCTCGCTTTCCTTTAACATTCTAATTCCATGAATGTACGGTCTTCAACCAATACATCTCGCTTCTTCGTCCTATCCATCTTTAATTACAAATTTAAAAGCTAACAATTGATCGTTTAAATGCAAATACAACCTATACTAACCAGTAAGATATTATCTTTGTTCATCGTACATGCAAAGTATCAATGTTTTTGTATCATTTAGATGAAATATCACCACTATTTTCGGTCCTTGGCATCATCAACCTAATATTACCAAATAATAATTAAATACAACACATAAACATATTTTTCAGCTATTCACAGCACAGTTTTAATTAATCATTGTTTGTAAATGAACAAAACCGGTATCATTCATATTCATAGAAATGATAGCTCTTCACACATAAAATCGAATCTAAACCAATTTGGATCATCTCAACCAAAGATAACTGCTTCTAATTCCCGAACATTCCTTTCTATCTCATCGGTGAAAATACTGTAACTATAACTTCCTTCTCTGTATGTCTTCATGTCTATTTCATAACTCTGCAATCTCTTCTCGGCTTTTTCCTTGTCATCGTACCGCTTCATCAATCGTTCGTATAAAACATCCTTAGTGTTATAACAGAATATCTTAACATTGTCAAACTCATTAAACTTCGCTGCACCTATTCTATCACAGTCGATAACAATGTACTCGTTCTTATTTAACTCTGATTTGGCTGTACCGTAGTAGTGATTGTCATAAAAGGTCGTCTCGTAAAATTCGTTTAAACTGTTCATTCTTACGAATTCTTCTTTTGTGATAAAATGGTAGTCTACGTGGTTGTTTTCACCAGGCCGCTTCTCACGCGTTGTGTGAGAAACAGAGAGTGAAATATTTTTGTAGTGGAGAATTCGTTTGATCAAGGTCGATTTACCACATCCCGAGGTTCCTGTAATTATTACAAGTTTGGGCATGGGGGTTCATTTATTGCAATATTAATAAAGTGGGTATGATGATATAAAACCTGTCAACGATATTACGGCTTATTAACTATAACTAATTTAAGGGGATAAACAAAAGTATGCTGCAAACATCAAATAAAATGCAGTTGAAAAGCTTTGAAACATATATCTGTAATCTAAAATTCAAGCTACGTTATTTCTGCGCTTTACATTGAATAAAACCAGCCGTTATACTGAATGAGCGTGTTTGTTATAATTATTACTGTCGAGGAACGTACTTTCATTTATTTTTAACGGGCATAAGACGAGGGATTGCTTAATTTATCCCTATATCACACAAAATGGTTAAATAATAAAACATGAAGTACCACAAAAACCACTTCGCTCTATTCTTTGATTAAAGTCCTGTTGAGCACAGTTTAGCGACAAGAAAAAATTAACTTAAATCCTGTAATTGATCACTCTACATGTTTTTCGATCTTTGTTTGATCAAATATCACACCTCATGCTGATGCTGACCATCTAAAAGACCCCCACTAAAAATAAATTACGATGGTCACAGGCAGCGGATGTGTCTTATATGAAGGATTCAATAAATAATTTTATTAACTGAGTCGGCTAATCATTCACGAGAGAGCGGTTCGGCCAGATACGCATGTGTAGCGGTTATACCTGCGTAGTTGGCATAATCTGTACTTCTGTGTGCTTGCGTAGTGTTGCACCGCTATTATTACTCGTATTATTGGTATGGATGCATTGCATATTGTTATTTATTTTGGATGGCCATGTTTTTTTAGTCTCTTACTTCAAATAAGACTCGTCTCTCAATCTGATGTTACAGCTCTACTCTTTTTCGTTGCTAACATGTCTACTAAATGAGGATAACGGCTGTGCAGTGGAGTTACTGTAAAAACGATTTGCATATTTCCAAAAAATATGATCACAATTTATTGTTGGGAATAAAAACATAGAGATGCTCATTACTGTGTTTCCGCTACACAGATTATTTTACAGAAGCTATATTCAATAAATTACAACACCGTTGGTTTGCGAAATAATATTGAATCATTTCATTACAGGGACATTCTGAATTTCACAAAAAAATCACATATCAAGAATTAACTCGTGTACCAGTGGAGTTAGTAGCGTAATTCACGTAAAAAATTGAAGCATTAATTAGGCGTTGTTGCATTTTGTACCAAAATAATTGATGATTTGGACGGATGGTACGACAAGTAACTAACAACAAGACATTAAGAAAGCTGTAATACAGATATGTTTATGTGTTGCCATACACTTAATACCAGCTGCAAATGTTATCAAGATTATAACAACGCATTAAACCCGATAGATAAACGACTCAAATGAATAATCAGTTTTTATTTAGGAACTCCATCGTTTTTTTCCAGGTGCGACTGTCATTCACGACATCAACATGTTTGCACCACGGAATGGTAACCAACCTGCACCTACCTACTCTTGCCAGCTCTTCTGCGTGTCTGATAGGAATTACATTGTCTTGTTTTCCATGTAGTATCAAAATATCATCTCGCTTATCTGAAAACTCCCTTGGTTCACCATTTTGTTCAGGATTTTCGGGTATTTTGGTAATGTTGGCTCTGTTATTAAACGAAAAATTCTTGTTGATCCGTTTTCCTACAAACCAAAGAAGCAAACGGTTACGGTGTAAGTACTCCCTGAGGGATAGAAACGGCGAAAACAATATTATTTTGGAAAAGAAAAACCTTTTCCCTGTTCTGCTGGCATATTCTAATAGCATTGCACATCCCAGGCTAAAACCAACCAAGCTCGGTTTGTTACCTTCCATATTTATTCTTGAAATAAGAGCATCCACACAAGCAACAAAATGATCAAGGCAATGTGTGCTAAGACGATTTTCCACCTTGATGTTCATATCGTAACATTCTTTCTTATAATCTATCACATACCACGTGATATTGAAGCAATTGGCTAGAAAGTCTAATCGAAAGCCTTGCACAAAAGAATATATTGAGGTTCCATGCGATTTAAACAGTACGATATGTTTTGTGTTTTCGGTGGTTTCTCGTGGTTGCAAAAATAAATAGTCACAATTCAATTCGCTGATTCTTCTTCGTTCATATTCACAATAAAGGTGGCGTGTCAGTTCAGATTCTACTTCAACAAAAACCACGGCGCGTATGACTCGATCAATGAATGACAATTTATTTGATACAAATAAATTTTTAAAAAATCTGTAAATGAAATTAATGAATTCTTCGCACATATTTACAATTTTCCTTGCACATTGCTTAATAACATCAAAAAAGTAGCTTGCCATTTCATAAATTCTATATCTGTTAGTATTTCTTCGTTTAATTTGCATAATTTTTATTTTCGCCTCCTTTAATCAGTAACCCCTCTCAAATGATTCATTTTGTACGAATCTTTTTGGGAATGCTTTGATGGGAAATCATTGGCCCGATACAGTGTGATATTTGAGGCGATAAATAAGTGTACACTTGGTAAAAAAGATTATTGGCCGGACATCGGAGACACATACTATGGAAATGTGTTGTTTTTACTGATTCAATATTTTTAATCAAAGTTATTTTTGTTCCAAACCATATGTAATACATCTTTTTATATATTTTACGAATGATCTCAAAGTGTGATCAAGTATAAATATTTGGGTAAGTTTTCGCTTCACAATAGTAGTTCTCTAGCTTTGTTCTGATGAACAGGCCTAGATGGTATGATTTTACTCTCAGGTGCTCCATAAAATAAGATTTTGTTTTCCTGCAACGATGTAATATAACGAATGAAAGCTCGCATCCAGAAGCATACATAAAAAGAGCAGGCTTCAATGATAAGTGCAACTTCAACCAACAAATGTGAATTACTGTCAAATCCACTACAAAACTGCTATACTTTGCACACAATATAGTACGTAGTAATACTGTTAAAAACCAATATAATGAGCAATGTGGATGCGAGTACTATGACAAAATATAGTTGAATTCGCTCTAGAACATAGCTAAAGACGAGCGATCAAACTTATTGCGCATAACTGACTTACAAAGCCTAGCTTAGTACAGGGATTTAAAGTGTAGACTCTGATACGATTTTGGTGCACAAAGTTATGATATCAGTCTGTATTTTTAGATAAACCTTAGGAAACATTGATACGTGATAGAAGAGCTGATTTTATGTCCCAGATCTAGTATTTATCACGTTCATTGGCCTATTCCAAGATTTGATTCCTTTTACAAAAAATCGTTTATTTTATTGCTTAATACATAATATTGACTAAAAAACAACATATTTCTCTAATCCGCCAGGACTGACCATAACCGTTGGATTGTGATGCAATTCGATTCAATGTTTTCTGAGATGGAGCCATTCAGATGATACATCGTACGAGTGTCCCGTCAAATAATTTGAGGATTGTATCATGTGTATATCTTCCAAACCACAGGGCATTTGATTTATTTATTTATGGATCATATCCTAAACATTATTTTTTGCTAGCAGGGCCCTTAATGAAATACGAAGAGTACGAAAAGTTGCTGAATACTTTGGGTAAAACCGATAAAATAGCACAAAATTTGAATCAGATATACAAAAAGATGGAGAGTAACACACAGAATACTCCCACAACTGTTTTACAAACGTTTGAACGGTACAGCATTCCTAAAAAGAATTTGGAATACGCAATAAAGTTCCATGAAGACTACATTAAATACTGTGAAAATGTAAATGAAAGCGTTTTAGTGATCAAAGATTATAAGAAAGCGAATGATACCGACATAAAGAAGGATTTGGAGGTAATAGAAGCGTATGAGAATATTAAGAACAGCAATAAGAACATTAAAATGTATAAGAGCATCGGCATCGTGAAGACAAAAATTGAGAGCTCTGAAACCGCGCTAGCAGGCATTTACAACAGCATTAGAAAAAGATTTTTTTTATTGGTAAAGGAGAACATGCTGATCGAGGTGGATGGTCTTAACAGGATATCTACATTTCTGATAACTTATGGAGAAAAATCGGAAATTGCTGAAAAATACATGCAGACTTATTTCAAGGAGTTTAATTTTAGGGATGCACTTGAAGATACCGATGCATTTGTTAAGCGTGTTGCCGACAGTAGCAAGTTATTCAACGATATTAGGGAAATGAACATATTTCTGTTTGATACGGCAACATACGAATTTCTTAACAAAAACATGATAAATTATTTAAGAGAAGACATGAAAACTAATATAATGAGGTTTATGGACCTGATCGAAAGGAGAAAAAATCTAAAGGATATTTTCATGATCATAGATCTCTACGATGTGGCAAAGATAAATGGTATCAGTTTACTGGGATGCATGGATTGTCTGTTACATCATCTTATCCGCTACATCGAAAATGTAAATCAAATCGATAAAAAATTTGAGGTAGAGAGCTTCGTAGTATTCACCACCAAAGTTATAAATTCTCTTAATTCCCAAGTAGCGCAGGACTACGTAGAGAAATACGGTGAAAATCTGAAGGTTAAAGAGCAAGATGAGTTAAAGGATAAGATATTACTAACTTTATACATGAAAATAAAACATTTGTCCCTGAATGAAAATGAATTAAACAAAAATGTGTACCTACTCAATAACATAAACTACATTATGAAGACCAGGAATGCAATTGGTGATAAAATGCTTTTTGATGATATTCAGATCTACAAGAAAGGTATTATTAGTTATTTGAGAGATGAAAGTGCTAATTACGGGGGCAATTGCACCGCTTTTATCGATAACACACTTAATTTCTTCACACAAACAAAGATACCAAATGAAACGCGAAATTACGTTTTGGAAAACGTAAAAAAAATATTTAAAGATCTGAATAAACGTGCACCGTACAATGGCGACTTTGAAAAGATCCTGAAAAGGCTTGATAATCTGGAACTTTCATAACACGTAAATTAAATCTATTATTTGATGTATGGATAGACTTACTAGATTTCTAACAAGTATATGATAAAATTCTTTGTTTATATTGCATTTCATGTATTCTAACAATGTTATTATAATAACACGATTTTAATGTATTGCAGCATCTTAAATTGTGCTATAATTGAGATGTATTATATTAGATTACTTAGATGTGAGTGAGACAGGATTTTTCACGATTTTGTATTCGAATTAGTAAAGATGCGAGTCGTGTTGCATAGCTCGCCACAAACAATGCTAATTGTTCTCCCATAAGCACATAGCTCAGTTGGGTCGAAAATTCAAAGTTTAAACGCGCATTCCTTTCAAAAGGAATGCGCGTTTAAACGCAAAAAAACTTACAAGTTGTTGATTTGCCACAACCCATTAAACGAGCGGCAAGAAACATAATTATGAAAAAAGGTTATACGTTCGAAATAACAAAGCATACGCTACATTTTCATGAAAATGCATCGATTTATGGTTTGTCATCGACTGACAACCATCTTCTGACGGCCGGTTCTGATTGTACAGTACGGTGCTGGCATATTGTCTTGAAACAAAAAAAAACAAGAATATTCTGTGTTATCCAGATAATAGCAGTGTGAGCTTCGTATATTGTTGCACACTGACATTGCCGAATAGTGTCAACATAATACGCTCGCACGGCAGATATGTGGCGGCCGGAACTACAATGGGAGAGGTATACATCTTCAAAGAAAAAGGATGTACATTTGAAGAATGTGCTATACGAGGTGGCGATGGCGACAGCTGCAATGAAATTGTTTTCGTTAGACGGGAAGTGGTGGTATTTGCTTTCGAAAGTGGCAGGCTAATGATGTACGAAATAATTGAGAACAACGAGCAAGGAGATAAGCAAGAGGAGGAAAAGGCAGTTGGTGAAAGTTTAGGTAAGAATGGCATTGATGGAGAAAAAATGGACAAGGATGCTCAAAATCATCACAGTTCTGATGTAAGAACACAAAATAATAGTCAAATGGTAGAAAATGGTTCTAAAACTGTTGCGAAAAAGAAGATTAAGCCCTTGAGAGTCGCAAAACTACTTTCGTATAAACTACTCAATGTTATAAAACCACATTCTCTCTCCATACAAGGTCTGGCTTACAATGCCAAGTATAACATTCTCAGCACGTTCTCTAAGGATAAAACAATGAAAATTTTTTATATCACAAACAAAATGACACTTCTGGGAAAGCTTAGCAACGCATTCGCTGATGAACAAGAAATGATTCTGTTCAGGAGATATAAATTTTCACATGACAATGAATTTCTGTATGTTGGTGGATGTATTGGCAATTATCTGCACATTTTACATTTTCCGTTCTGTGGAACGTGTCTTTTGGGCAAAATTGGCCCGTTTGAAGCACATGTGAGTGTAATTTATGAATACGGTAAGAAAGAATGCTCTGAGTTGTCTGAAAAAAGAGCCTTGGAATCTAAAAATGCGAAACAGGTTAGGGAGCGATGGAAAAAAATTATAATCGATAGTTGCACCGGGGCGGGAGAGGCAGATTTTGAACACTCGAATTTAGATCCAATAAAAGAAGAAATGTGTACTTTGATCAGCAATATAAGCGCAAGGTTGGGTTTGAGTAGTGTATTTGAAAAGGAAAATGTTCTTAATGGATTACCATTAAAAGAAGTACTTTGTGACAAGTCACAGTCAAATGATCCGGTTTTTAGTAGCGGAAAATTTAAAAATTCAAGTCGAAACGCAAAGGAGGGAGGGCACGCTTTAAACAGTGATAAAATAAATGACAAACCGTTGAAGTATGAACTGAACGTAGAAAAAAGTGGTTTGTGCTACAAAAATCGTGATGAAGCACAACAATTAGATTCTGAAGTGACAAATAATGCTATGATGGATGAAAAAAAAGATGAAAATGATATAAATGATTCATTCAATATGGACGATTATAGCTTTACAATATCTAATACAGATAATATGGTATTTTTTGCGGTGAAAAACCATTTATATTGCATGAATCGAACTGGTATCGTGTGTAAAATGGAGAATGTATGTTATAAAGGTATAACTGATATAATGGTGCATAAAAATGTGGTGTTTATTAGTAGCGTTGATGGATTGCTCAGCTCTGTTAGATTTCTAGATTAAAATTCTGGCTCACCGTGCAATTAGAACGTATGAAAATGTAAATATGTTTTGAAAAATGAGCAGATGCTCATAGAATCAGCTAATTTTTCTGGTATACTTGCATTATATCCGCTAGCGTTTAGCAAATGATGAGTGTTCAGCATCTAACGAGCCTGAGAAAAAGTTCATCGTTATTCCTAAATAAATTTTCAGGTGTTGTAGCCACCAGAGCTATGACACACGTCGTTAGCATTCTAGTGGCAGAAAATCAATAAAAGCATCTAATCCTAGAAACACAGTGAGCATATTTTGTCATCAAATTTAAATAAAGATTGTGTGTTGGAGGCACTTATTTCTTTTTTGTACTCCTATTCAATAGAGGACTACCGCAATACCCAAAATAAACTTGAAGAGAAGAATGCTACGAGTTAGTCTAGTCAAGCGATGTACATCTTTTTATACTTCACCCTCTTTTATATGTAAATACCGCCTGGTCTATAGCTATGATCTAACGTAACATTGCCAAAACTCCTTTTTCTCGCTACAAGAGTAATAATCATTAATTTATTTAGTCCGTTATCTAGTGAGCTTTCCAAGCTACGTGACCGGTGCAATATAATATATAGTTTGTTCCAAAAGAGAAAGATGTATACTACCAGGTATTATTTATTTGTTTATACAATTGTAATCAAGCACAATAATTGGTTCTTTTCATCGGAAATACATTGTAAAATGTTCAATGTGGCTGAAAATGGCATTAAAAGCTTACTGCAATGATCCGTTATTAGTGAAAGACAAGATATTATTTCCAAGCAGTGATCAACCACAACAAGACAAATGATATAAAACCGAAAATTACATGTATACACCTGAAGTTCAAAAATAAAATGGTGGTTTGAAGCTTATTGAGTTGGTTCTACAACCAGGTGTAATAAAAATGATGTGTTTCTCGGATATAAACATCACATTGTGGAGGCCCTGTAGTTCTATCTGAAGTACACGTTCAATTTAAAAGAAAAAGTTTTGATGTCTAACAGGAAATGGCTTATGAAGACCACGACTTACAGAATAATGCTGTGAAATCTTCTAAAACCTCGAAGCCTACGTTCTTCAGCTTTCAATTTGCTCGATAATAGCCTTCACTACCCATCTCCAGTTGGATACTCTTGCAATCGAGCATTTAGCGGATCAGTAAAGGTCAATTACTTAACTAGCAGGTTTGAGCCATCAGGCTTCTACAACATAAATATCTTGTTTCAAGTTTTCCGCTCTAATATTGACAACAAAGGTAGGGAGGACTGAGATAAAAGTTGATTTGACATTTTTTGTTCCATAGAACAGTGCTGCTTTAACTTAAGTCACCACAAAAACTTCTTGTTTCAAATGTAATGTCGGGTGAACCAGACTCTCTGGTACGACCTGACGAAGCATTTAGACTAAGGATCTCTGATGACTGAGTAGACAGACCAATAGATACCGTCTCAGGGGTCCAAGATTGAACTCTCCTGTGTAAGAAGAAGATTTGATCGATACATGCTTTCTAGAGAAATGGACATGATTTACAATAGCCAAAGACGAACATAGATAGTGGAATCACATGCATTCATTTTGACTCATGTAGGCGTTATGTGCGTGGTGGTAGATGAGTTTGGTTAAAGAAAATTTGGTATAGATTATATATCCTTCCCGTGTTTTGTAGATCAGAAACATAAGTTCAAAGATTAAAAGGCTCTAACTCATCAAACAGATATTAAATGGTGATGTGAATCAGGAGTACCGAGCCTTAAGTTGTTGGAGCGAGCTTGAACAATAATGAACAACTACTATCGGTACCAGCGCACTTACAGGAAGAATCATAGGTTTTTCTACAGTACCAACACAGAATTGTGCAAGAATAAGCTAATGGCTAGAATGAATTCCAAGAAGCATATCTTACACAATAGGCCTGTGCTGGCAGTATTAGACCGTGCCACTTTTAAAAATCTGCATTTCACTTTTCTTTAGCTGTTTTCTTTGGTTGTACAGCGTTTGGCCGAGCTAAGAAATCTATTAATGATAGTAAATCGCGTCTTTTTATATTTGTGGATAGTTGTTTTAACACAAACTATGCGTGTTAGTTCAAAAAACTGCTGAGAATGACAACAACCAACGATCTGGCAGTGAATAACAAATACACACCCAGAACCGATAATGAATACGTTTAATCGAATAGGTGTGTGATCAGAATGCATCATAGCACCTGTCACTAATAAAACTAGCATTCATTTCAAGCACTAGCACCTACGTTTTTTAGAACCCTTATCATCGTTTCCTGACACCTGTATTATCCACAAAATATTTTGGAAAAATAACGAACTGTTCTGTAAACCGTCAGCTACTCCCATGCATTCGTTTAACAGTTTTTGCAGAATTTTTGCAAAATATCCGTCTTATATACGATATCGTTCTCATTTTTATTTTGATACGGAGGTACCATTAAATGGTAATTATCGCCGTATTCTCTACGTAATGATTGTGGTTGTTCGGTCCATCCGAGATTTTCGGCACTTGTAGATGCTTTTTCGTCAACTGACGCACCATGTTTCGCGCTATGATGCGTATTCGATTTGATTGTGCTTTCGAATCTTTTCATCTTGCTGTACCGTTCTGTATGAGAAACGTTTTGACGCGCATCTGCTTTCACCGGATCATATGATCCTCCTACCACTTCTTGCTCTTCTCCAACATTTGCATTACACGATTCACTCCCACCTGCCATCATGTTATTTTCTCCGTATCGTACATTTTTTGATAAATCCATCATCAGAACAAGTCTTCCAACTTCCGACATGCTATCTGCCAGTGCCTTAAGTACTTGCCTTTGCACTGCCATAACTTCGCTGAAATTACTTGATATGTTCTCAGCAGCCTGTTTCATGTCTTGTGGACAACGTACATACAATTTACCAATCACTTGGTTCATCAGTTGCGTTGCAAGGTTTAATTCGCTAAAAACACATTCAATTTGCTGTGCGATAACCTTGCAATTAACATACAATTCAATAAAATTACGATCTAACAACACGTATTTCATACCAATGCATACGTAGCGGATAGTATGAAGTTTATATGGCAGTTCATGGATGTAATTCTTGCAATGTTGAACTAATCGCGCGT